ACGGCACGCGCGGCGTGTGTTCGCTCTGATTCATGCGGACTCATCTCCAATCAGGCGCACACCTTTGTCGGCTCAAAGTACTCCACGTGGACGGACACCGTGCGCGGGATGAGGCTGGCAGCGGGCAAGCCAGCGTCGGCACACCATCTGTTCGAGGAGCTGTGGGCTCTGGGAGTGAAGTGACAGGGCTGCTAGCTACATACGGCTTTTATCTGCATCTGTGTCCGCATCCACCATCTTAAATCCTCTGTCTCCCGGCTGAAAAAAAGAGGCTGTTCCTTTTTTACCCATCTCCTAGAGAGGTGTCTCTTTTATTTATTTACAAGGGAGCAACAGCCTCGGCGGCCGCCGGCGCCCCGGCGGCCGCCGGCGGGGATAAAATTCTCCTCCCGACACAGCGGCCGGAAGCGGAACGGCCGTGACAGCTGGGCACTGGAACAGCCTTGGGACCAGCCCGCCGATACACATTGTCCGCGCTGGCTCTCGCTGCCGACACTCATGACTGCGAGTGGGCCTGCCACACACGTTGGCCAGCGCAGCACTGGCCGTCGTCCGCAGCGGGTCAGGCCACAGAGCGTGCCGCTGCCACCACCATCACCAGTTGGGTCTTGCCAAGTGTGCGCCTCCTCGCTCGACGAGAGCCGAGTGGAGGTCCGCTACCTTCACTCCGGCGGCGCCAGCCTCCACATTCAGTCCGTCGCCGACGACGGCCGCCTGAAGACGGTGGGGGGCGATAGTTGGATCGTGCGCTTCGAGACCAACACGAGCACGTGGAGGCAGCTAGCGCGCGATCTGGGCGACGGCTCATACGTCGCGGATGTGCCCGGCGATGAGCTGGACGTGCGCGATGTGCAGACACACGTTCAGCTTTGGTTCACGAGCCTGGTGCCGGACTACCTCGAGTCGAAATGGTGGATCAATGCCAGCGACACGCCCACCTCACGCCGCTCCTTCCCCTCGCTGCCTGTGCAAACGCTTTCTAGTGCAGACCAGCTGCAGTGCCGCGCAGCCAGCCGGCCTCCCATCACGATTGCAGCACGCGCGCAGCCGCCCGCTCACGAGCACCCCCCGATCAGCCGGGCTTGCACTGGAGGCGAAGACGGACGTTGGCTCCGCGTAAGCGAAACTGGAACCCCGCCGAGCGGCATGCAAGCCGTCTTCGGTCACCACTCCCAGTTTCGTAGCCCGCATATCTGGGTTCCTTTCGGCTGCGCGAGCACTCGACGACAACATCCCCACATTGGTCGTTGCCTCGCCAAAGGCAACCGGCGTCTCATCATCGTGGGCGACTCAATCAGCAATGGTTTTGCGCTCGATATTTGCGCGCGTGTGGCAGGGCGCTCAGCCAACTGCTCTGAATGGGGTGGTCCGGCCAAGCCGCTACCTAGCGGCGGCGTCATTATCAGCAACGCGATGGGAAACCCCCCGCGGATCGGCTTGGGCAATGTCGTGGTGGGTAAGGCGGCGGGGGACTGGGAGCGGGCGCTTGCGCTGGCAAACGACAGCATCGTGGTACTGCAGAGCGGAGCGCACGACATCTCGTTGCCTCCACCGGGACATGAAAAGAAGGTGTCGCCCCTATCCGCGTACCGCCATCACATTCGGCTGCTTGCACACATCATAGCGCGAGTGCAGGCCGTCAACCCCACCGTACAGTTCGTTTGGCGCCAGACCACACATCAGCTGCTGCTTGAAGATGCCAAGTCGCTGAAGGCTGGCGCGTCTCTGTGCGGGCTGGCGGCGGGACGAGCCCGTGCGTTCCCCGGCACTAACCCGCTCGCCATCCGCGCGCTCAATGAGGCTGCGCGCAGCGCGCTGGCGCCGCTGGGCGTCATCATTTGGGAGGAGCCTGCGTTGCTCACGCTGAGCGCGCCGCTCGGGGCCTTCCGGGACCCGCAGCATCACGACGTCTGTGGTGCCGGCAGCGACCGGCACGACAGGTCACGGGGCTCTCGGTGCGCCGCCGCTCGACGCAAAGGGGAGGGATTTGCACATCCCGTGGACGCGACTTGGGCCCGCATGGGAGGCCTCAGTGAGGCCATCACAGACACATTCTTCGACTCGGTGATGGGCTGCGGCCGCACTTGAGCTAGTTGTTATGTGAGGCGTGGGCCTCGTGAGCGAGAGCGTGCATGTGTGTGTGTGTGTGTGTGTGTGTGTGTGTGTGTGTGTGTGTGTGTGTGTGCGTGTGTGTGTGTGTGTGAGTGAGTGAGTGTGTGTGTGTGTGTGTGCACCCTGTAGTGTAGGCGAGAAGCGATCAAGCGAATAGAACAGTCCGACATTTGGGAGTTTGAGACATTTTGGGAGTTTTGCTTTCTGGGGGCACGGAGGGCCGCTTATACAAACAAACGGCTGCCACACCAGAGTAGAGTCTTGCCACACCGGCGTCACTGGCGACCCGCAGCTGGAGGTATCACAAGGAGTCCCAGGTCGGAGGTAGCGTGTCGGCACGACCTCGGTCCGGACCGATGGCGCTCGGTGTGGAGCAAGCAAGACCCCCCCCCCCCCCATCGGCGCGCGCTCGCCATTCCAACGGCCGCCAGGAGCACCAAGAGGACTCCTCATGGCTGCACTCAAGTGGGCTTCGACCGGCCTCGGCTGGGGGGGCGGGTTGTCCCGGCTGCGGACGCCTTCTGCAGCCCCCTGGGCCCGTGACCCAGCACCCCAAAACTGCCCCTCGGCGGCATACAGCACTGCCAGCCAGCCTCTTCCTCCTCCTCAAGGGCTGTACTATAGGCCATATTGCGCCGCCTCCTACTAGCAGCCGGGCGGGCGCGCGCCGCGGGCGCCTCGGCGCGCGCACGGCTCGCAAAGTTCGAACGAGTACTGCCGCCCGGCCGCCTCAAGGCTGCCGGGCGGCAGTACTCGCCTCGCAAGGCGCGCACCGGCTGCTCTGGCTGCTGCGCCGGCGGCCGCTGCGCTGGCCGCTGCTGCGCCGGCTGGCGGGCGGCACGGCCGCCGGCGGCCGCTGCACCCGCGCCTTCCCTCGCGGGCGCCGTCGCGCCGCGCGCGCCCAACTCTGCTGGTACACGGCACGCGTCGTCACACAGCCGCGGAGAACAGGCGGTGCTGTGCGCGAAGCGCGCGCGATCTCGTACTTTTAAGGCTGGATCCGGCCATTCCAAGGGTATACCTTTGAGAATCCCCAGCGTCCCATCCTCCTAGTCACACTCTCAATATCTCGACTAGCCAACATGAAGTGCTGCGATCGGGAGTGCCCCATTTCTTTTTTCCTTTCTTTTTTTGGGTCCTGTGGGCACCCTAGCACTGGCACTAACACGGTTCTCGAGAACCTCGGGTACACCGAGAAAAAGAAACAATTTTGCTTCTGCACACCGTCACCGAGGCGCTCGAACGTGCCTGGGCGTGTGAGCCATAGAGCGCGCGAGAGCGCGGGAGGAGCGTTGGCAGGGCTGGCGCACATGTTGGCACACCCTGTGCCCGCTCGCGGCGGCGCGAGCAGCGAGTACGGCGGAGATATAGCTGGCTCTCACTGGCGACCGCCGCATCGAATTTATTAAATTCGAAGCGAAACCGTGAGGTGCCTCCCGTCGACTCCGGGACGCTGACAGCAGCTCCAGCCGGAAAACAGAGCCGGTTGCTGTCTCTCGCTTCGTTTGCTCGCTCACTCTCGCTCTCCCTCAAACTCGACCGCCAAGCTTCGACTGGTCAGACGAGAGATGGCGCCAGTCATCGTGCACATCCACATTCCAAAGATGGCTGGCTCGACAATCATGAGGGCCTTCCCGCGATGGGCGGGCATCTCATACTGTCCGTGGCAATCGGTGAGATGGCCTTTGCATCCGACGTACGGCAACGAAACCTACTTTTACGAGCTGCTCACTCGGAACTGTGCTGCTGGTGCGGCGCCCGCGTGCTTCTCCAGCTACGAGGGCGCTTGGGACGACGCTCTCGCGGCCTGCAGGTGGCAGCCCGACGCGCGGCCAATCATGCTCACGCTGCTGCGGAGCCCGATGGCTTGGCTCTACTCGGCGATGAGGTGAAGAGGGCCGCCGACACGTCCGAAAGACACCGCTCGCTCTCCTCGCCACACCGACGCATCGCGTCACAGTCGCGCCTCCCAAATTTCAGGTGGTCCGGGCGCACGCCGGAGAAGCTCGCGAGGGCGGGGAGCTGGAGGACGGCCGACGGCTACGGCTTCGACCGGCCGCTGTGCGCGCTGAGCGGACGGGCGTGGTGCAGCCACCCCGGCTTGGTCGACCCGGGCCGCTCTCGCGCCGAGCTGGTGGAGCACGTCCTGCGCGTGTTCCATGTCCATGACACGTGGGTGACGCGTCTGTGACGCGCCCTGTAGGTGGAGCACATCCTGCGCAATCTCGCGCAGCGGGACACGGCGCCGTGCCTCAGGCAGAGGATCCGTCGCCTGGGACCCGTCCGCAAGCTTGAGCCCGTCGTCGCTCCATATAGGCGTGGGGCCTGGCCGAGCAGCTGCCCGCCTCGTTGCTGCTCATCCTGCGCCAGGTCGGCCTCCGGGAGAGAGCGAAGGTGTACTGCGGCTCCTCGGCGGCGGCGGCGGCGGCGGCGGGCACGAGGCACAAGAGGTACGACGGCAACATCTCCTACCACGTCAGCTACGGCGCGCTGCAATGGCTCGTCGCCCGCATGCAGACGTATCAGGAGGTGTTCTCGCGGGCGGCGGCCCTTTTCCACACGCGAGCGCACGCGGCAACGATGGACGTCTGTGGGAGCGGCGGGTTGCGCTAGCCGTGTGTCACAGGCGTGCGTACAGCAACAGCCAACAGTGCGCCGAACACATCGAAATGAACTATATATGGACATTCCAAGACTGTTGTTCATCTTCATGAGACCACCCCTTCTTCGTAACAGAGTAAAACTCAAAACGCTGGCCTGCCAGCTGCACGCGCCTGGCCAGTAAGGAACGGCCTGGCGCCTGGGTGCGCTGGGGTGGGTGGCGGAAGAAAAAACATACTACACACGGCAGGAGGGCCGCTCAGGCGGACTCGAGGAAGAAGCCGTCCGCCACCGCCGCCGCCAGCTTGCGCCGCGACTCAGTGTGCTTCAGCAGCGCGAGCGCCACAACGAGATCTGAGACCCACGAGAGCTGATTCAGAAGCAGCACGTACTCCGCCATCACCACGCCCGTGCTGCACACGTCCCGCGCGAAGGAGTCCTCCTCCTCCTCAAAGAGGTCCCCGCAGACGCCAAAAAAGTAGAAGCCGCCGTGCGCCAGGCCGAGCACAACCTGCGTCCACGTCAGGCACGCCGGCAGCCTCGCCTCGGCGGCGTCGCGAAAGGAGCAGGCCGAGACGGCAAAGGCGGCGACCAGCGCCAGAGAGGCGCCAAAGTAGGTGCCGGCGCCGACGCGCTTCACCTCGCCCCAATCGAGCGGCGCAATCAGAGCCGCGGCGAGGCTGACGCCGACCACGACCGACGCGGCGGGCAGGGCGTAGTAGAGCGGCGCGAGACGCGAGCCGCTTCCACCGATCCGCGAGAGCTCCGCGAGATCTCGCGCTAGAAGGAGGAAGGCGGCCGTCGCCGCTGCGCCGATGGTCGCGCACAGGGCGTACGCAACGTTGATCTCGGCGTCGGTCGTGCACTCCATGAATGACGCCGACAGGTCCGACGCCCCGAGGATCGGAGGAACCTTGCGGAATGGGCTGTCGTCCCAGCAGGCTGCCGTGTCGAAGATGATTGGGGCGGCGAGGGCGCCGCCGAGGAGGAGCGGCGTGAGAGAGGTGAATGCAAACAGATAGCCGGCCGCACAGCCGTCGGGCTTTACGCAGCAGCAGCGGAGGAGGCCCTGAACCGCCGAGGCGAGGCAGAGGCCAATCGCGGTGAGGTGTGCAGACCGGTAGATGGAGGTGGCGAGGCTGGCCTGCTCTTCCGTGTAGCTCGACATCTCTGCCGGTAGAGAGGCGAGCCGCCGCAACCTATTTTGGTAAAAAGAATTTTACTATTAAGCCCCTCTCACAGCAGACTGGCTCGGACTGGCACTACAAATGGCACAGCAGGCGACGGCCCCTTACGGGTCGTCAAAGAGGCCGGCGTACTCCTCCGGCCGCTCCTCCCCCTCCCAATCCTCCCCGGGCTCTGGCTCCTCCTCCTTCGCCCGCGCCCTCGCCCCCCGCCGGCGGCGATTCCGTGCGGCCGTCGCCCCCTCCCCCTCCCCGCCCCCATCACGGCCGGAGCCGTACCACCCAGCGCGCACGAGGAACGAGGACTGAGCCTCGACCTCGTCCAACCTCACCGCCCTCACGGCGGCGTCGCACGCCTCAGCCCGCGAAGCGCCAGCAGCATGCGCCGCGGCGTACGCCGCGTCGCCTACCGCCTGCCTCGCGAGAGACGCGGCGCGCCACTCGTCCTCCAGCGCCGCCGAGCCCCACACAGGGTCTCCCGCAGACCGGTCCGAGTCGCCATCCGAGCTTAGCTCGCCCTCGCCCTCGCCCTCGCCTCGCGCCTCGCCGCTCCCATCCTGCGGCTGCGCCACGCCCCGCGCCTCGCAGCAGCCCCATCCTCGGCAGAGCCCGCCGCACATGCCATGCGCGACGTATGCCTGGCGCAGGCCAGGCACCTCCCACCGATCGTCAGTGGTGGCGAGATAGGGCGCCGCGCAGAAGCCTGTGTACTGGCCCGCCGCCCCGGGCCGCCCGCAGAGGCAGCACGGCTCGACGACGCCGAGCCACTGCCCGACGTTGAGCTGCGCCCAATGCGCCCGCCACCACGCCGCCCCGCCGCGGCGCCGCCAGCTTTCATGTTCCGGATGGTCGGCACTAGGAGAAGAAGAAACCTGAGCGCCTGCTGCGCGCGACTCGAGGTCGAGCGGCTCAATGCGGGCGGTCATGGAGGCCTCACCTTCGAAAAGGGAGGCTATGTGGACCTCTCGGGAACAATCGGGCGACACGGCGCCGCTCTCCTCCCCCTCCGCCGGCGCCGCGCCGCCGGGGAATTCCTCCTCCACCATTGGGTCTGACCCAATGGTCAGACCCGCCTCCGCGGCCTGCGCCCCCGCAGGCGCCGCGCTCCGCGCGCAGGGTGCGGTCGCCGCTGCGGCCTCCGCCGCCAGCCGCCGCCCCTCCTCGCCGTCCACCACCGCCGCGCTCGTACCAGCGCGGGCGGCGGGGAGGCGGGGTCCAAACTGCTCCTCAGAAGAAGAAGCAGCAGCTGCTGCTGCCTCCTCCTCGCCGGAGGTGTAGCCCTCGCCGCCCTCGGCGCCGAGGCCGCGCGCGCCCCCAGCGGCCGCGCTGCCGCCCGCCTGCCCGCCCGCAGCCAGCCCAGACGGGCCGTCGTGGGAGGACGGGCAGGCAAACAGTGCCAAAGCCGCAGCTGCTGCCTCAGCGCTGCGCAGCGCGGGCAGCGCGCAGTCGCAGATCCGCTCGAAGTCGCGCGCGCTGATGCCGAGCGACGCGGCGCTCGCGCCGCTCCGCACCGCCTCCAAGAGGTCGTACACGTTCTCCAAATCCTGCAGCTGCGGCTGCAGCAGCAGGCTTGAAGCTCTGCGCGCGCCCACGTGGGCGCGCTGGAAGAGGGCCGCGAGGCCCTCGTCCGGGTCGATGGCCGGCCGCGAGGCCGCCATCGGGAGGGTATGCCACGGGCGCGACCCGGGCTTCGTAGAGGTTGGCCGCCACGAGCGCCGAGAGAGAGCGGAGCGCGAGCGACGCCACAGAACGCCGTTGGACAAGAAATAAGAATTTTCTACCCGGAATCCCCCCCTCGAAACCGAGTAAAAACAACCACACGCCTCTCCTTAAAATCCCTGTGTGGTGGCGGCGTGCCGTCCTCCCATCCGTCCCCACTTCTTTCTTTTCTTTTAAACAACCGAGTGTCTGTCCAGAGTGCGCCCCCTTCCCCAACGCTGACGGCGGTGAGCGCATTGAGTGTGGCCTCCCTACGCTTTGACAATCGGTGTGATTGCAGAGTACATGCGCCCGAGTAAAGGCTACAAGTAGATTGGATACAGCCGAATGCGTGGGAGCGCGACGGGATGACATAAACAAATACGGTCAGCATCTATGGTGGTCTGCCCAAACGCCGCACGGTCGTTGTCGACGATGTAGGTGATTCTGCAGAGGTTGAAAGCCGCGCTGAGGGGCAAGGTGGCGAGCGGGCTGGGGAGATTCCCGAGAGCCAGGATCGGGATGCAGCCCATCGATCCGACGAGCAAAAGGTGCTCTGTGACCTTGCGCGTGGAGGGATAGTCGCCTGTAGGAAGGAAGAGGGTCGCAGTTCGAAAATAACTTCAGGAATGCCATGAGTGTGGTAAGGTAGTCACCGCGCGTGACGAGGCAGAACTTGTGGCGCATGGCCTCCTCCTGCGGGGAAGAGCAGGCGGAGACGTTGTATTAGCTTTGTGCGGAGATGAGTTGCCTTCGAAAGTACAAGAGTAGCCCGCTCCTTGAAGTCAGCCTCACCGATGTACTTGCCGCGTATCGCCTAAAGCGTGATTGCCCCAGCCTCACGCTTCCTTCCGGAGAGGTTCGATTTCATGTAGCAACGCAGAGAAGTGTGGGGCAATTCCTTTCAATTATGGCTACGGTTCGCCTCGGCGCTCGCAGCACGGAATCCCCGGCTGAGGCTGCTCCAGCCTCGTCTGCAGGGGTTCTTCTTCGCGGAATTCAGCTGACTTTCGCAGTCGTACTCCGCCCCCCACACGCGACGGCACTCGGAGAGCTGAGCCTAGGAGGGTACCATAACTGAGGGCGGTCACGTCCACGCATGTGGGGCAGGGCACCCCCGCCTCTTCTTGTCCAGGTGAGTAGCGCCGCCGCGCGCGCGTGTGTGCGTTCTGCGTGCCGTCACCTCCCGCCGTGTTCCATTGGCCGTCGGCAGGTCGCACGCGGCACCCATCCAAAGCCCCTTGAGGTTGTACTGGTATACGGTTGCCAGTGGGTTGGAGTGAAGCGCCAGCCACGCATGCCACCGCACCGTCGAGAGAGCAGGGTTGATGATGCGCCCGAGCACGACCAGCAACAGCTTGCGCTCCGACCAGGGTGTTGGGGGAGGCAGGTCGGCCAGCAGGCTCGCAGAGGAAACAAAAGGTGTCACGATGTCGAGACCACTCGGCCCTACTGCGAGCTCCGCGAGGTAGTGAATTCCTAGCGGAGCTCGGCAAGGTACTTTCGTGCACATGCTCGAGTCTTGTGCTCGGTCGTTGATCGAAAAGGAGGTTGAGTAGATGGCGGCCGGTGGCGAATCACCGCACCTCGAATTGTTGGCGGCGAGCCGCTCGTGGCTCTTCTGAAGGGTACCGAGGTTGCGGTAGCGGCCAGGGGAGCGCAGTGTGAGGGAGGCATTGAAGTACACCACGTCTGCCTCGCTGAGCTTGTCGACGCGCCATGGGTGCGACGCGAGACTGTGTGAGACCCAGTGGTGAGAGGCGTACTGCGATCGTTTGTGACGCTCGATACCAGGCACCTTGGCCTGCATCACATAGATGCTGCAGCGACTGGCGGAGATGAGTTGGTGCACGCTACTAAAGCCGGCTGGTGGCGGCGGCGCCGGCGGTGGCCTCGCATCGGCGGGTCGACGCCAGCCGCCCGTCGTCCGGTCGGCGGCCAGTGGCGTGCAGCCCACGACGGCAAGGCACAGCGCGATCATAGCATGGATTGTCGCGCGCGCGCCGGCTTGTGCCATGTACCTTGTGTGCGTGTGGCGGCTGCGGCGTCCCTTGCCGCGTGCGGACAACGCGCCCGCCGATGTGTCGCGCAATTTCACGCCTGTGTCTGGAGGCTGGGGGAAGGCTCCCTGGGTCGCTGGGTGCCACGGGCGACGCAGAAACCCGTAGACGGGATGCCCGAGGTCCGTCTAGACAGTAGGAAATCCTAGAGAGTCTCTTATATTTATCGCATATGATAATCGTGGTTTAGCTCACAACCACACACCAGCAGAGTGGCGGGGTACATATTCATATAACATCCCGGTTGTATCATACGAAGACGAATTCAGGCAAACAAAATCGCTCTCGAATTCAGTGAAAAGTGCGAAAACGAGAACTTGTCAGCCGGTGCCCGTCGAGCGACCCCCCGCGACCGCCGTCTCCGACGCGCTCGCGGCGACGCGCAAACTGAAGGTTTGCAGGCTGTTCGCGTCGGCGCCTCCGAGCAGCAAAGACATCAGCTTGAACTTGTGCTCGCCGGAGGAGGAGCCCTGCGCCACCCGCAGCCGCACAGAGCAGCAGCCCGCCCCTCGCCCCGCAGCCTCCCTTTCCTCGCCCACCCCGCGCCTCGCCGCGCGGAGCACGACCCGCCGCACGTCGGTGACGCTCACGCCGTCCTTGGTGTCGTGCGCGTCGATGAGCGTCGCGAGGCAGGAGCAGCCTCCGTCGCACGAGACGCGGACGCGGCCCATGTGCTCGTAGCTGCGCAGGTAGCCCAGCCACAGCACCTTTGGGCTGCGAGCCGCGGCGCCGCCCGCGGGGAAGGGTAGGCAGAGGGAGAGGCTGTCGCCGGGCTGGGACGCAACGTACCCGAGCTTGCCGGGCCCCCTGCCTTCGTCCGTCAGCTCGAAGCCCTGCGCCGACGCGACGAAGCGCGGCAGCTGCGACCCCCGCGCACAGACGCTCGCAGCAGACTCGCGCCCGCTCTCGCCGTGCAGCGGGCCCGCCAGCGCAGCCGGCGCCCTCCGGCACTTGTGAGGGTGGCCTCGTGCCGGCGGCGCTTGCGTGAGCGCCGGCGGAGAGAGCAGACGGTGGAGGAGGAGCTGGGCGAGGTAGGTGTGCCCTTCTCCGGCAGGGTGCTTGCAGTCCCGCATGAAGGCCGGGATAGAGAGAGCGCCCGAGCGCACGGCGCCAAGCAGCGCGCCGCGCATCGACACGAGCGGCACGTTGTAGTGGCGGCACAAGTCTGCGATCGCGTCCTCGTCCGAGTTGATCTCGTCGCGCTGGCCGGCGCTGCCCCAAGACTGCGCCGCCCGCTGCGTGGCGTTGGCGGCCATGTCGACCGGCCACTTGCTGTTCCAGCACTTGTCGGTCCGCCCGTCCTGGGGCCGGACGGCCCTCCACCTGTGAGCGTTGACGACGACGAGGGCGGGCGCGTGGGGCAGCAGCAGGAGAGTGCGGAGGAGGCGCTCGAACGAGGCGGGGTTCCGGTCCGTGTTGACGGCGTACTCGACGAGGAGCAGGTCGGCGCGCCTCGGCATGTGATCGTGGACGCAGTGTTCCATGTAGGTCGGGCCGGTGCCGGGCACGCCGCCGTTGCTGAGCGAGTGGCCGTTGCGGACGGGGTGGATCGCGTCGAGCGCGGCGAGGAGCTTGTGGTGGTAGAGGTGCGTGGCGCCGGACCGGACCGCATAGTTGCTGCCTGCGGTGATGGAGCCTCCGATGGCGCCGATGCTGACCGGCGTTCGCCGCGCGAGAGCAGCGCGCACGCACGCCAGGCGGTCGTCCGCGCCGGCGAGCTCGACGCCGGAGTCCAGCTGCGACGCGTTGAGCAGGGACTCCGACTGAGGCCAGAGCGAGCGCAGCAGCTGTATGTCGACATTCCCGGCGGTGTGTCTCGTCGAGCCGCCAGTGCTTCGCTGGCTGGCCTCGTCGAGGCCGGCGGCGGCTACAAGCAAGCAGTGGAGCGCTGGCATCCACTGTAGACGGCCCACGTGTGGCCCACGTTTTATGGGCAAGGCGGAAGAGCGGCTCGCGGCGGGCGGCTGATCGGAAAGAATTAACAAGGAAATCTAGCTAAAAAAAAAAAGAATTCGCTCCACGTCAAAATCACTGATAGAACCGACCGCGCTGGCCGCCCGCGCGCGCGCCGGACCGGCTCCGGCACGTCCGGCGCTGGGCGGCGCGCGTCCACACTGCGCGTCGCGCAAAAGGCGAGCGCTCGCCGCCGCTACGGCGGCGGCGGCGGCCGACGGCCGACGGCCGACGGCCGACGGCAGACGGCCGACGGCCGACGGCAGACGGCAGACGGCATACGGCCTAGGGCTCGGCTGGGCGCGCACGCGCACGCGCGCGCGTCGCGCGCCACGCGTCGCTCCGCGAGGGCGCGCGCCAACCGCGATTCGAACCGGGGCCAAAAGGCGCCTGGAGCGACCGCGGTCCGGTCGCGCCACCGCGGCTGCGGGGCTGATAGAGCAGGCCGGCTGCGGCTCCTGATGTACCTCCGCTTTTGGGTGGCGGTCGCGCGCTGCCGACGGCGCTCGCCGGCGCTACGGCGCTCGCGGCGCGCTCGTGGCGTTCAGGGCGGCTCGCACACGCACACGCACACGCACACACGCACACACACACACACACACACACACACACACACACACACACACACACACACACATGCACAGACACACAGCCCCTTCCCCTCCCCCCTCAAGGGCGAGGACACGCACAGGCCGCACCTCTAGTGAGGCCCGCATAGTATGTGGGAGACTCGTGCCGCCGCCCCTGCCACCCCTGTGTCAGTGTGCCTGTGGTAGGAGAGACTGCCAGCGACAAGCTGGAGGCAGGTCGCTAGACTGAGATGAGACCGCCAGTGGATGTGGGAGTCCACCGCGCACCGCGCTGCGAGCCTGTCGTGTCCCTTGTCAGGAGCAGGAGAGCCCCACCTGTCCCCCTGATCGTTCTTCCAAAATCCTGCTCGTGCAGGTGGGGACCCTGTCCTCGTCCCATCCCTCGTTTGGCGTGTCTGTTTTCTTTCTTTCTTTCTTTTAGAACCGACCGCCCTTGCCCCACGCAAGCCATCTTTCTTTCATCTTTGTGTTTCGGTCTCATCCATCGAAGGGAAGAAACAAAATGTGCGCGGCGATCTGCTCCGTGTGTGTGTGAGTGAGTATTTATTCTTGATACGAAACCATGACGAGGGTGTGTGTGTGTGAGAGAGAGAGATTTTTAGCAATACCCAGTTTTGTTGTTGTTGTTGTTGTTGTTGTTGTTGTTGTTGTTGTTGTTGTTGTTGTTGTTGTTGTTGTTGTTGTTGTGTGTGTGTGTGTGTGTGTGTGTGTGTGTGTGTGTGTGTGTGTGTGTGTGTGTGTGTGTGTGTGTGTGCTGAGCCCTGGCTGTCAGGCTGTCAGGCTGTCAGGTGCTGTCAGGTGATCTGTCGGTCTGTCGGGCAGCTGTCAGGCACTGTCAGGTGCCTCTGTCAGACCAGCTGTCAGGTGCTGTCAGTGCTGTCGGGTGCTGTCGGGTGCGTGTCTGACAGGCGAGGGGATCTGTAGCTGTCGGGTGCTGTCGGAGCTGTCGGGTGTTGCTGTCAGACGCTGTCGGAGCTGTCAGAGCTGTCAGGCTGCTGCTGCTGTCAGACGTTGGGCTGTTGCTGTCAGGTGCTGTCAGGTGTGCTGTCGGGGTGCTGTCAGGCTCTGACACACACCAGCCACACTTATGACACTATCAATAGGAGACCAGCAGGACTCTACTACACATACTCTAGCCTCTACTCTGCCTCCGGTCCCACCATCTTTTTCATGGTGGACGTCACCATCTTCTTGTCTGCCGCACTGAGGGAATAGCAGAGAGGCAGGGTGGAGTGCTTCTTCAGGTACACCTTGCTGATGATCTGGTAGTTGCTGGTCCAGCGGAAGGCCTCCCCATTGTTGTCGCTCGTCAGCTTGTAGTACTTGCATGGTGACTCGGCTTCCTACCTCTCCTTTGCAGCGCCCAACGAGTCTGTGGAGAAGGTGCGTGGGCGCCACACTCCTCTTCATCACCCTCCCGCCCACACCCACTGGCTTCCCTCTCGCAGGGGGTGAAGAAGCTCGACCGCCACTTCGGCTACTACCAATGCTCCTTGTGCGGCAAGAAGAAGGGCGCGCTCTACGGGGAGACTGGCGCGATCGGCTCGAACTGCTCCAACGTGCTGCGCCACACTGCCGGCGAGTCGCACCTCCGCGCGTGGCTCGCCGACCTGCCGGTGGAAGCGGAGAAGCCGACGCTGGCCGAGCTGCAAACGTGCGTTCTCCTCGTCGTGTGTCCATCAATACCCGCACGCGGGGCACTCACCCTCCTCTCGCGGCGGTCACAGGTCGTGTCGATCGCGCACAAGTGGCTCGGCAGCGCCCGCTTACAGCGCACCACGCAGACCAAGGTGCGGGGGCAGCACAAGGCGCAGAAGATTGCGACCAACGCGGCGGTCGACGCCGCCGTGGCCGCTGGCCGGGCGGCGGCGGGGGCGCTGACGCCGATGACGCCGAGCATGTCACACAACAAGCACTGGACGAAGCAGAAGCTCGCCGAAGCGAGAGCCACATGGGTGCGGCCGAATGACGAGAAGACAGTCGTCACGTTGTGCACCGGAAGCAGGTGCCGCAAACCACTTCTCCCGACAGCGGAGCAGCTCGAGCGGATGCAAGAGCACAGTCTGACGATCAAGCAGGAGAGCGACGTGCGCGCGGCTGCGGCACAGCTCCCAGGCGGCTTTGTCGATGCCGGCGACATCTTAGATCTGCTCAGGATGGGCATGTAGCGCCCAGAGACACGCGCGGAGCGCGCCGCTGCAGAACACGCGCGGAGCGCGCCGCTGCATGGGTAGGCGCGGAGCGCCGCCAGAGCCGACTTGCGGCTGATGGTGCTGACGCGCCCGGCGCACAAGATGATCTACACGCCCACGCTAAAACGACTGGACGACCTTATCGATGGCTGCACGCGGCTTGTCTTCCAGCTCTCGCTCCTCGACCCTCGCTTCTTCTTCTGCTTCCCGTATGAACCCCCCGAGCTCGAGGCTGAGCTCGAGGTCGCCTCCTCCTTCTTGGGCTGTTCACACGATGCGCTCGCGTTCGCAGTTAAGGCGGCATACCACGTGAGCAACCGAAGCGGGGCTGCTTGGTCCGCTTTGGACGGGGCGACACCAGCGATGGAGGTACGGGCTCGTTTCACCGTGTTTCGCCAATGCACGCGGACGCTCGAGCAGCGCCTCTGCGCAGATGCTCGAGCTCTTCATCTGGGCTCGCTGCGCCGGAACATTGAGACACGATCAACGGGTGGGCGTCCACGCCCGGAGGAGCGATTCTAAGATCAGGTCTCGGACTTTGGTGAAATCGGCCGTCCCTCAGTGCTTCCAGCTACCGGCTTGAGTTTCCTCAATTGGCTCGAATTTTGCATAGTAGAAAAAAGAACAGGCGGGACGGGGCGGCCCCCGCCAGCCCCGCTCGAAGCCAGGCAGCCCCGCTCGAAGCCGTGCGGCGGCGCAGGCTGCCACCGCTGCCCGGGCGCCCCGAGCGGCGGCGGAGGGCCGCCCAGGCCACCACCAGTGCCCCTTCCACCGGCGGCGCGGCGGCAGCGGCGCCGACCGCCTCTCCATCAGCGGTGGCGCGACGGCTGTCGTCGGGGCGCCGGCAGGTGCCGCGCGCAGAGGGTGCCACCGGACCGGCCGACGCGCGCCCGGCGGAGCCTTCGTCGTCCATCGCATGGCGGGCCGAGCACCCCCGCGTCGCTTCTCGGCGCATTGGAGAGCAGAGGAAGCTGCTGGCGTCGCCGCTGGGATCGGCGGCGGCGCCAGCAGCGTTCTCGGATCTGAAGCCGACTTTGAGCGCCGATCGATCGATCTGAGGGCTGGCCGATGGGTGGCGCTGGGACATCGCCGCCGCCGCGGAGGCCGGCGGCGACCAGAGGAGCTGGGGCGCGTGGCGCATATGTTACCTGCCAAGTGAGCATTCAAGTGACCTTGGAGATTATTCGAGATTCGAAACGTCCGATTTCACTTTTCAGCGGAGAGGTGCCAGACCTGATTTTAGAATCGCTCGGAGGCCCCAGAGGGTTCACGAACTCCACGTAGTTGTTGTTTCTTTCCTTTCCTCCTTTGCGGCTCTAGTGTGGCGAGGGTGAGTTCCGTTTAAAAATTGCTTGTTCGATCTTCGTCCCGAGAGAGATATCCGCAGGGACACTTTTGACTCTAGCCCATGCCTGCGCCCCACTTTGCGACGTGTTGCGCCGCCAGCCGCTCCGCGTAGGCATATAGGGCCAGGTCATGCGCGTTGTCGCGACGGGCTCGCTCGCTGTCCTCGTCGGACATGGCGCAGGGCGCAGGCCGCGTGGTGTCGCGGCACGCGGTGAAATTGGCGATGCCTGTCGCTCGCTGCAGCGTTGCGGGCGTCGAGGCGTCGTTGCTCAACAGGACGAGCTGCAGGCTTGAGAGCACCCGCTTGGCCTCGGCCAAGTGCGCTGAGGTGATGGCCCCGGGCGGCAGGCCGAGCACGCGCTCGCCGAGCAGGACGCGGTGGTAGTAGTTGTCGTAGACTGCCGGCGCGAGGCGGCGCATGTGGCTGTAGTTGGAGCAGAATCCCTGCTTTCGCGGACGCACCAGGCCCCAGCGTGCCTGCGCGGCGCGAAGCGCTGGGCTAGACTGAGGGTCCGGGACTAGAGGTGCGGGACCGGACGGGGAGCTAGCAGCGAGATCTTGCTCTGATGGCTAGGGCGGCGCGCCAGCTCAAAGCTGTGAGACACCATCCGCTCGAGCGGCGGCCGCAACATCGCGAGTGTGAAGAAGCCGGGGCAGGGCACGCCGCCGGGCAGGGTGCTCTCGACGGCGTGGAACTGCGGAGCCCTCGCGAGCCGCTCTGAGCAGTTGCTTCTGCCGCTGCCCATGCGCGCGATTGCGTCGGGGTAGGCAAACCGTGACCTCTCCCACGCGCTCTGAGCATGTGAAACCGGGATCCACCACGGCCCATCGGCGTATTCCCGCTGGCGACGACCGCAGTTGCCGTCGCTGGCCCACGTGGTGCAGCCTGCAGCTTGCGCCAGCCTGCATACAGCGGAGCCCGACGCCTTTGAAAAGTGCAGCAGCATAACCTTCTGCTTGCGGCAAACTGGCGTCGTCCCGGGAAGGTTCGAGGTGCAGCCCTTCCTCGGCCTCTGCGAGATGGACGACTCGTTGAGCACGTGGTTGAGCAAGGTGCGCCAACGCGTGTCCTTTGGCTGGTGTAGCATGTCTTTGCATGCGGCAAACAGCTGTCTGTCTCTGAACGCGGCATGTGAGCACGCGAGACGCGCAAGCAGTCTGCGCTGCTCGCGCCGACTGAGATTGGCGAGGGCTAAATTGATAGCATCACGCACCCGCACAAATTGAGCATTGTCGGGGCGTCGAAGAGCAGGCGCGAGACGTGGCATGCTCGCATCGGTGGGTCGTTGCCGGGCTCCCGTCGTCCGGTCGGCGGTCTCAATGCGGACATCTGCAGCCGTGGAGCCGCTCAGCGTCCAGGATGCGAGGAGAGCGAGCAAACGCAGCGGAGCAGCGTGCATGCGCCTCGGAGAGCAGGCGCTGCGCCTGCGAGAGCAAGGAGAGCAAACGCAGCGCCTCGTGACTACAACTGTATGAGCAACGACTGTGAATGGCTTCTCGAGGTTCTCGAGGTGGATATCCTTTGGCCGCGTTGGGTAGCGAGGATTGGTGTAACCCGAGCCACGGAGGCGTGTTTTCTGGCGGCCGACCGTCAGTGCACGGAGTTGCCACTCTCCGACTGCCCCGGCTAGCTAGTTCCCGAGGTCGTCGGGTGTGACCCCTTCGCCGCCCGAGACCTGGAGCGGCTCTGCGCGGCGGCTGGCTGGCGGGTGGAGGTCATACCTCACGATGGAGACTGTTTGTTTGAGTGTGTGCGGCGGTGGCTTGCGCTGCAGCGGTGGGAGGCCGCGCTGCACGACAGCGCGGCAGGCGTCCGTGCGGCCGTCACCGCAGTCTTGCGCGAACGTATGGCGCAGGATGTCGGACTCGCGCGGCGTGTGGCCCCACTCCTTTCTGAGGCGGCGCGGGGCCTCGGCACGGACGGGACGAGCGTCGCGCTTCGCGATGAGCTTGAGCGCCGCGGCGTGACGGCGCTGGCGCGACTCGCAGAGGGCGCCCCTGCGGCCGAGTGCCTCGCTGCCTACCTCGACGTGATGGGCCGCGATGGCATCTTTGGCGAGCGGCTCGAAATCGAGGCGATCGCGGCGCTGGTGCGTGCGCCCGTACATATCTACTACTACGCCGGTGGCTCTGGCGAGCACGGCGGCGGTGTGGGCGCTGAGCACGCCCTCTCCATGGAGGCGATCGCCCCCGAGGCGTTTGGCTTTGCCACCGCGGCGGCAGCACCGCTGCGGTTGCTCCATTTTGTTCATGAGCGCCACTTTGCCTTGCTGGTGCCGGTGGCGTGAGGGTGGCGCCTTGCGGCGCGCTAGGCCGCGGCAAGGCGCGCGTGCGGCGTGGGGTCGTGGGCGGCGTGGGCGGCGTCGAGGGCGGCGGTGGCGCGTTGGGGGGGGGACGGGATACTTTACGGCTCTCAGGGTGTGGACCGTGAGTTGACCAGGGGTTGTGCGCCGGGCCCTCCTGCTCGGCTCCAGCCAGTAGACAAGTGTTGTCACTAACAGAGTAGAGGGATCTGACCTCGGGGCCGATGTGACCAAGCGCTGGGGTAGCGTGGTTTTACCTCACACCCATGGTCCATGGGCCATTCGGCATGGTCTCACAGTGTGCCGGCAGTCCCACCTCGCCGAGCAAGTGTCGCTCACACAAGCCGCAGCACAAGTGATTGAGGGCCAGTGAGGGCGAGCCCATCGCTGTCACAGCTGTGGCAGCCGCACAGTAGGCTGTCGGGCCTGTCCCCCCCTTGCCATCTCGCTGATCGCTCTCCGCACTCCGGTGGGCAGCGGGGCCAGGCCCAGGGCAGGCGGCGCGAGGCGCGCGCGGGACCATCTGTGGCGAGGTGGGTCGCGTCCTCCGACTTCCGTCAACTCACGGTCCACACCCTTAAACAACTCGCCGCTCATCTCCACCTTAACCTCTCGACTGTGCTCGGTATGGGGAACGGACAACGCTGAGAGCCGCAGCCTCCTCGCGGCGACCCGCCCCAACCCCAACCCGCCGCCCCCCGCCACGCGCCACCGGGCCCGGGTCGACAAGCCCCGGGCCCAGCCACCGCAGTTGTCAACGCCCAGCACGACGGGGGGCGCTAGCACGAGCACCCGAACCAAGCTCCCCCGGGCGGCGGCCTCGCCTCGCCCACACGGCGGACGTGGCTCGTCCACGACTGCGCCTCCTCGCCTACACGCCGAGCCAGAGGGACGTGTCCCGGGACGTGTCCTGCATCAACCCCGTCCTGAATCCGTCCCTCGCCGCCGCCCGGCAAGTTCATTAACCGTCGCAAGGGTCAACGCCAAGTGCTCTTAACCGTCCCCAAAAACAACCCGGGAACCTCTGAAACCCCCCCCCTTGCCCTCCCCAGGGAGTATACCCTTATCGGCGGAACCGGGCCAAAA